TGAATGAATATATTTATTAGCGCGAGTGTTGAGTATGCGTGGGTGGGTCGTGGCGGAATATCTAGTACCCCACCGACCCTCTAAACTAGGTTAGGATTTTAATTGTACTCAATTGGTATAAAATATATAATTATGTAAATGAGAAAATATTTTTGTTAAAAGTAAATAAACTCTAGGGGGTGTCAGTGGCCGCAACGGTTTAGTCGTTGACACGGCGCTCATCACTGTAAGGTGAAGGTCCCGGGTTCGAAACCAGCGGCCCTGCATTCGAACCGACATACTTACAATTTTTTTTCAAAAACACCGGCACCCCGAGGGTTTAAATAACCTTGTAGTCAGGGGGAAAAACTTGTGAATTTTTATTATTTTTAGTTTTAAAGAGTTTTAATATATATTTCGTTTAATTATCTACATTTCTGTTTAAAGTTACTATGATAGTAAAAAAATGATTTATTGCATGCCATAGCATATTTTAACGAACTAATTTTGCATATTGTAGGGCTTTCAACTGTATATTTTATGGCATGTGCCAATTTTTACAGCATAAAATCCGGTCTCTGCTTATCAATCTCGCCTTGAGCCCAAACACGATAACCTCATTTACGTATATAACTGATCAAAGGAATTTGATTGAACGACTTGATAAATGATCATTGCCCAATAACGGAGGAAATCCATCTACAATCTCCATCTTAATAGATAATAATTCGCATGGGAACTTGCTAATGGGCCAATTCCCCCGCAGGTGTCCCTTATGAAGACAAAGGTTGCTGTATGTGTCCTCCATAATCGAAGCGTGTCGTGCCTTGGCTCCCTACAGGGCGCGAGTAGGCATACCGCCAAATTTAAAATGGGTTCTCGGGCACAGAAGCGAGTTTCAGGGTCTCCTCTTCCGCTTTTTAGGGGAATTGGGAATTTTTTTATTGTATATAGCCTTCAAAATATGCGTTTTTAGGAGTGAGTGTATTTATTAGAGTGAATAGGGAGGGGCTGATGTGAAGTAGGTTCTCAACCGTCCACCGCTCCTCAGGTTGTGTGTATGACTTGGGTTGAAGGCGGAAATTTTATACAAGTACTCGGCTTCGGTGACTTTGGATGCGAATTCTGGCGAATTTTGTTCTAACGAGTACGTCCGAAATCCTCGTCAGAACAAGGCGGTTACATCGCGCTCGTTTTCTGATAGTCGGTACGTTTCTGCATCCAAGCAAAATGGACGAACTTAATGAGTTTTATTTCCTTGAAAGTCCTTTGATTAACCTATTGTTCATAGGTGGTGGGAAAACAGCATATTAACCACTTATTTTCCACAAGAGACGAGAAGGTACAGTTTCAAACTTATTGCTAGTCATTAAATTCACTAATTTCGTGGTCCGCTTGACCAATTAATATATTACAATTAATTAAGGTTTTTAGTTGAGATAAAAAAGTTCGAATCCCGCTCGTGCCATTGACTTTTTTATCTCAAATAAAAACCTTAATTAATTGTAATATATTACTTGGTCAAGCGGACCACGAAATTAGTGAATTTAATAATTTAAAAGGAAGTATACTTCACTAAAGCTCTCCGTGGCCATTTCATTTGTTGTCGAGAATCCAACCCGATTACACGACATTTGAAATATGCCAAAAAGGAGGGAAAATTCAAAAGGTGCGGTTGAGATGGGAACTTGATGTCCGAGTGGATCGAGGTCACGATAGCTCAAGTGGTAGAGCAGCGCGTATCAAGCCGAAGATCGTGGGTTCGAATCCCGCTCGTGCCATTGACTTTTTTATCTCAACTAAAAACCTTAATTAAATGTAACTTATTGCTAGTCCTTAAAAAAATGCATATTAATCCGTGTATGTTTAGCTGTCATAATTTAACATATTAATTAAAATGGAATTTGAAAAATTGGCAAAAAGAGGGAAAATTGGAACAGTTGTAGGTTGAGATGAGTCGGTGTCTGAGGGGATACAAATCACAATAGCCCTACGTGGTTAGAGCAACGGCGTATCGAGCCGAAGGTCGTGGGTTCGAATCTCGCTCGTGACACTAATTTTTCGTCTCAACCAAAAACCTTAGATAAAAAGAATTATTCATTAGAATAATTAATATGGTTAATTATGACCACTAACCAAATATGGTTTATTGCTAGTGTTTTTTCTTGGGCAACTTTCTCCCACTTTGGCCGAGAAATATCTCCGTTGTGATTTTTTTTGTCGTTCACGTCCGACAAACATTTCTCAAAAATAAGACTAATCATTTTATCTATATCCATGGTGAAATACCAAAACTGTCTAAATTGAACGTAGAACGCAGGAAAAAATCCAACTGGTTTGAAAGCTCGAATGGTTCTGACGACACCGTGCCTGTTCTGACATGCTGCCAAAGTAAACACTCTCATCGGAAAACAAGTATTTTTTTGTACGGACGAAATCGTCAGAACTCCTCAGAACAAAATTTCGTCAGACTTCGCATCCATAGGAACCGTAGCCTAAGGCTGTCCTGGCTATCGTTCGAGGTGAGATCACGAGGACATCATTTCAGTCAGCGTTGTTATTGTGCGATTGAGGAAAGTCGGGTAACTAATGGATTCGGACTAGGAGTGGAATTTGTAGTATATTGGTTTGATGGCGTGGAAAGCATAAAGGATGTTAAGATCATGGTGAAAGGTACGATTGGACACAACAGGTTTTGGACTGAAACGATTGGATTCGATAGGAGCTTTGGCTGAGGGACATATTTCAACTTTAATCGAGGAATATGGATCTGCTAACTGTTCGATCTGCAGTGCAAAATGTCCTATGAGTTTCAACAGGTTGGAAAAGAGCCAAAGAAAGAGTCAAGTTTGTTGATACGATCCTGAAGACTGCGAACCAATCGACCCGTTGAGTATCGGCAACGTTGAAGAAGACGAACCTACAGACAGGGGAATCTTCTGTTTTGACACGAGTTTAACGATTTACTATTATCGATGGGTGAAAATCTAATTTAAAGGGTCGTGATTGCACAGGATAAAACTTTAGGAAAATCTACTTAAGTCTAGTTTCCGATACACGTGTTCAGAGGGTAAACGGCTCGATTTAATATGCGTTAACGCTGTTTTAACGACATAAAACGGCCGTTTTACTCGAGAAATATTGACGATAGGAGAAGTAGAAAAAAAAGGACTTAAGGTCAAAGTCTTCCAGATTGATCAAAAGCTTCGCTATTCGTTCTTATAAAACAACAATTTTATCTGTCAATTCGTCAGATCTGGTTATTTTCCATGAGTAATTTTATGGTTGGGTTGAACGTGACGAGACTATCGTTTACTTAAATTATCGCCACGGGAGGATTTCGCATATTTGTCGATTTTTATTGACAAACCCGTTCGGATTTTTCTCATCTCATCGACAATAGCGAATACAGGGAGGAACAAACACGATAAGATAAAAAAAATTCAACGTCACGGTCGGGATTTGAACCCACGACCTTCGGGTTCAAATCCCGCTCGTGACCACCGAATTTTTTTAAACCAATAACTTACATAAAGATTAATTAATTTAAAAAGGTTATGTGTGATTAGTGACCGTGAATCGATAATTATTCAGGAATCGTGAGATACGGTCTGGTGTGATGTAGGTTTCAGAAAAACATTTTCTTTGTCGTGCCAACGTTTCGACCTTTATTGAGATCATCTTCAGCGCATTCTCAACACGACACGCAAGAATGGCACAATTACACACAAGACAAACACTTTGAGCCCTGAAGATGATCTCAATAAAGATCGAAACGTTGGCACGATAAAGAAAATGTTTTTATGAAACCTACATCACACCAGACCGCATCTTACGATTTTTGAATAATTAAAGAGGTTATTTGGTCAATCGGACCACGAAATCTAATGGATTTAAACACGATAAGGTTAATTTGAAATGTTTCGAATCTGTAAACTAAACGATTAGAACTTAAGTCAGCATTTTAACATGATTTTATGCTAGATCGTCGAATCACGTTGTCTCAGTAGTTATGCTCATAATAAAAACGTACTTCACGTTACAATTAAAGTTAAATTGTAAGTTTTATTAAGTTTTAAAGTTTGATAATAATAAATAACCACAGTAACAAACTGTTTAATTTAAAATTAATTTTGGATTTCTGTGTTTTTCTTTTTTGGTACTTATGCTTTGGCAGTTTCTTTATGTGGTTGTTTATGTAGTTATTCTTCGCACTTTAATGCTTGCCTTGATTATAAGGACAATGGAATTGATTATTAATTTTCCTTTCAAGTTTATCGGAGTGATTTTGCCTGACCTCGTCAGTGGTTTATTACATCTAAAAACTCGTTACAGCTCGTATGGCCGAGCTGTAATTTGTCCCCTCTCTTAGGCAAATAGCCGCGGCTCACCGGTCAGCTAGAATAAGCGGAAAATAATGGAATAAAGGGAAAAATCGATCCGAGAAAGAGCCGGAGCCTCATTCCGCCCCTATTACCAATACAAACAAAACTGGGTTGTAAAAGCAGGAGGCGGCGTGGTCGATTCCGTAACCTCCCTCGGAAAAAAAGCCCTTCTCCACCCCCCTTTATTCCATTGGGGGATGAACTGGGTCACATTTGTACACCGAGACTGTCACTGTACGAGACTAGTAATATTTTTGAGATGGAGTTGGAAAAGGTGAAGAACTTCTCGGACTCTGACTCGGTGATTTTGTTTTCAAATTCTTTTGTTTTTGTACATTAGGGGAAAGCTGGATCCTCGTGTAGGTCAGTCTGTCGACTAAGGTAGAGACGCATGTTCAGGGTTCGAAACATGGGGTGAATGGGCTATTGGAAAACGGTAAAGGGTAAGGCGAAGAGAAAGGCACCCCTTTGCGAATACTGGTGAAAGAATTCGGAAAGCCGATGAAAATGCTTGAATCCTGAAGAAACTTTAATACTATCAACACAGCTATCCAACATAAATATGCTTTGATTTAAAGTGCAAGATAAACTTTTTTGGCAGAATTGTTATTTTGATTTTGGATGATCGATACATACCGATTTTGGCTAGGGATGAACAGAAAATCCAGAGGCCGATCATAAAAGGCGTTTCCACTCTTTGAAATTCGACTTTCATGACGTCGTATCTTTTGATTTCCTTGTGGGCGGTCGTATGCGTGGGGTCCTGCTCCGGGAGGGTGGCCGGGGGCGTCTTCGTCTCCAGGAGGCTCCTGCCGGCGACCGCCGAGAGGCCGGGGTTGACGAAGACCTCCGATCCCCGGAGCCATTGGCCCCGGGAGGCGGCGACTGCTAGGAGAAGCGCAACGAGGACGAGCTGCCGGGAGGTCATACTCGCCTGTCCATGCCCGGTTTCCGACTGCTGGAGGCGGTCGGTCTCGTCCCCCACCAGGAGGTCCGGCTCTTGCGCGCCCTGATATTCTCACTCCCACCCGCCTCCAACGATCTATTTATCTACGCTACGATAGAAAACTTACTATCGCCCCTTATTCACCGACCTCATATTTAAAATAGTCAATGACAAAATCTTCTCAACCGACGCTTATCACACTCATTATCAGACACCGGATTTTTATGCAATAAAAATTGCTAAAATATGGCATAAAATATGCAGCCGAAAGCCCTGAAACAAACCAGTTTTTTTACTGTCATAATAACTTTAAACAGAAATATACACCAACAGGCAAAAAAATTCCACCCACTCATAATATAACTTGATTTTGATATATTGATCAAAGTTTCACGTTTTTAACGTTTAATAATTGAGCCTTTGTCTAAAAAAGTATACAGAAATTGTAAATTGCTAAGGAAAATAAAAATGCGGACGGATAAAATTAGTTTTAGATTTTTATTTAACATTTCAATATCGCGTAATTACCCCTCTTGCCTCAATTACATCTCGAAGACACCTCGGCATATTTTCTACCAGTCTGGAAAGGTCTTTTTCCTGGAGGTTAGCCCATTCTTCACGAAGAGTGCTTTCAAGATCGTGGATTGTCATGGAGGGGATGGACGTGCTCTTATTCATATTTTGAGGTTACCCCATGAATCCAAAACATGAATCGTTGGTAGAACATGGGGTATTAAACTATGGGTGGCCAAATGGATATACACCGCGATTATACTACCAAGATTTCTATTAGCAGCCCTAGTATGGTGGAAAGGGCTAGAAAACAAAGGGGCTATTAACAAGCTAAGGTCATTCCAAAGACTAGGTTGTATGATGATGACGGGAGCATTTCCCACTACACCAACCCTAGCTTTGGAAGTGATAACTAACACTACACCTCTACACATTGAGGTCAAGGTTAAAGCACTAACCAGCTGCTATAGATTATTTAGTGAAGGCAACTGGAACCATAAGGGAAATAATATAGGACACTCGAAAATTCTACATTTATTGAGTAAAGTCAACAACCAACTACTGGGCGTAAGCGATAAAAAGGAAATAAAATTTATATCGCCCGCCCTGCGTAATATGTATACCCCATGAATGTTCGATGGGGGTCAAGTAGCTGACCAGGCTAAGACCCTGATGTTATTCTGTTGAAGTACTATGCGAGCGATATGTTGGCGGACATTATCGCCCATTAGAATAGGATTGTCGCTGATTTCATCAAAGATAAGTATGATGTTCCAAAATTTCATCCACATAGCGACTGGTTGTAAATGACCCTTCACGAACAACAACTAACGACTCTCCATCGAAATTTCCGCCTACACCATCACTGAGCTCCGTTGGAAAGGTTGGCTCTGGAAAATATTACAGGCTTCGTTCCTTTCATTTCGCCTTCTCCTCACTATTTCACGCCCATTCAATCCAAGAGGAAATCTACACTCATCTGTAGAAAGTACAGCTGATCAACCGTCCAAAGACCAATGGCTGTGTTCTCGAGCATATGTTCTGGTCAATTCTGGTCCTTTTTCGGGGCGAAAAGCCATCAATCTTCTTCGAACAGTGCGTTCAGAAAAGTAGACACCTCGAACTTCCTGGAGCTGATGAACCGCTTGAACATGAGGTTCCCGAGAACTCTTCGTCACAAGACAAGAGGATCTTTAACGTCCGCACCTGGCCTATTCGGCCTTATCGGACGTTTTGATTCTCAAGATGAGAGCTGATGCACCTCCGCATACGACGGAATGGTGTTACCGCCGCAGCATTGGTGAAGAGGCGCCCCAGTCCTTAAGGGCCAAGACAACCTCGCTCTCCGCTTGTCCACTCCGAATGGTCGGGCATCGGATCGTATGCCGCACGCAAAGGGCTAACAAGCCGAAATACATCAACCTGTTCTCCCGCGTACTCCCTAGATAGAAAAGGCGTCTCTATCTCCCAGAGTATTTCGGCTTCCCCAGCGTGGAAACTTCCGGGAACGCCCCGACCGCGGTTTTGTTTAATGTGGAATTGCTAACCACACCCTAGATGAGCACCGCCTACGGTAAAATCTCTTATCGAGCTCAGCCTACACCTGCTATGCGCATTCGAGGGACGCCATAGGCTTAGCCTAGGTGATCCGATCCTTCGCTTCCCCAAGGGTACCACGCCGGTCATACGCACAACAATGCAAAGCGTACTCGAGTCAGAGCAGCCGATTCACTACCCGTTTCCGTTCGCTTACTCACGCATTCGAGGGACTATTCAGCAGGCTGGAGATAATAACGCTGGCCATACGCAAGCTTCACGAAGGTCACAAATAGAAGACAGCCTCTGTCTAAGTTCCCGCCAGGGGCGTCACCACGTACCACCAAGAATCCGTTCCCAGTGTAACTAGGGCTGTATTTGGAAGGTTTAGTTACCCCGTGGTACAGATGGCCATTTCACCTCTCCACACTCTTTCACGCCCATCTTGATATTGTAGGGCAAATCTGCACTCAGTACAGCAGATTCACGTCCAAAGACCAATGGCTGTGTTCTCGAGCAAACGCGAGCCGTGCAACCATGTGTTCTGGTCAATTCTGGTCCTTTAACATCCATCAGTCCTGATTTAATCTTCTTCGAGCAGTGCCTTCAGAAATTTTGGCACGTCGAACTTCCTGGAGCTGATGACTCGCTTGAACAACAGTAAGGTTTCGCAAGATTCTCAAAGTCAAAAAACGTGGTTACCCTAGGGCGTCCAGAACCCGGCCTTCTATCTTAGGACCCAGTTTCTCGTCTAACAGCGTCTTGCAGAATTTCGAAGGGAACTCCGATGGCAATAGCACCAACCCGTTCCCTTCTAACGGTTAGAATGTGGATGGCGCTTCGTCAGTCTGAAAGTGCGGTAAGTTTAGATTAAAATTTTCAAAAGCGAAACTGTGTCAATCTTTCAAGGAAAAAAGTCCCACCACCAGAATTTAGTGTCAACTTAATGTCACTGCAATACAATTCAAACAACCACAGTTCGAGAGCACAACTCGGGTTTAGAAACTACAGAACTTGATGAGTTATCTCTTGAACTTGAAAGCAGCGGCATTTTGCAGTCAAGAAGAATGTCGATTACTCAGAGGGAGTGAATGTGATCAGATTGAAAGAGTGACAGGAAGATCTGCCTCCTTCCGGACAGGCGATGGGCCGACCATCTGTCACCGAGCGACGGGGTCGAACTGAAATTTCAACAGGAAAACACGTGTAAACAAATAAAACGAAAAGATTTTTACGGTTTTGTATTTTCGGTAATTTCTGGGGGACTGACGAAGCCCCTTCGGGTTTCTTTGAGGATTATTATCTTCACGAGATACTTGCGGTTAACATTTTTATAATTGGGCTATTATTACATTAAAGATAAATAAACTGAATTTGAATTAGCTTTTTTTGTTTTCCGCATGTCACTCCCGTTTGGGGGAACTGTATACCCAAAGCGCCGTTATTTTTTCAATTTATATTTTATAATATTTTTTCATTTATTTATTTGTAGCTTATACATACTTGTACGTACAAATGTGATCACAATTGTATTGTTCGCCGCTCGGTCACAGCACTAACACTGATGCCAGCGCTGCACCCGGAGGACGCATGCCATGAGAAGCCAGCCAGTGCTGGCACTCATTTTAATGGATTAATGGGCAATGAGATCTCGGGGCCATCGTTTTAGAACGTGGTGGATTCTCGGAATGGGAATACGTAGAGAGGGCTCTAGCGGTAGGGTTAGGTTGGATCGATAGGTTGGTATGAAATTTTTGGAATCGTGAATGGATCACTTCATGGACAAAAGGAACGTTAAGGTCTTTGTGGATAGTGAGGTTAGAGACGTAAAAAGGAGCTTTGACGATTTGTCTGAGGACTTTTGATTGGAAGGACTGGATACGCTGGATATTGGATGGTTTGGCCCACAGTTCCACACCTTATGTCCAAAGTGGTCGCAGTAAAGTCTTGTATAAGGTCAGTTTAGAGCTGATGGTCAACCCGGATTTTGGTCCAAGCAGTCTGTGTAATTGTCCAAGTCTTCTATTGAGTTGTCTTTTAAGTCTTATGTGGGGATTCCACGTGAGTCTGCTGTCAAGGTATAAGTCCTAGGTATTTGACTTGAGTGGAAGTCGGTATCTCTTCATTGTTGATGTATAGTGGAGGGCAAGACTGCTTTTTCAAAGTGAACGTACATTGGATACACTTTTCTCCGTTTAATCTTGTCTTCCACTTTTTGCACCAGCCTTCGATGAGCTCAAGGTGTTCTTGGATATTAGAGGTAGCTTGGGTAGGATTCAAGTTAGTGGACAAAATTGCGGTAGGTGGTATTGATGGTATTGGGGTGAGTAGGTAGGTCAGCAGTATAGATGGTATAAAGGATAGGACCAAGGATACTCCCTTGTGGGACCATATTTATTTAACGATTATATACAGGATGTCTGTCGATAAGTGTCGAAAATTTTAGGAGGTGGTTCTATTCACCATATGAAACAAAAAACTTCCTATAAACCCCTGTCCAAATCTCAACGGTAAAGAAGAAATTTCAGGGTTTTTTTTTTTAATTTTTCAACTTAGGTCCTCTAAATTGCTTTAACCTTCAGAATTACTGGCGGTAGAAAAATCTAGTTTGTCCCGCCGAAATAACGTTAAATTTGCTCTAAGGAAACCTATTTACATTGCAGATTTGATGAAAAAATTCTGCACGAAAAATTCAGAAAAAAAGTTGAAATTTGGAATTTTTTGAAAATATTGGATTGGTAACTGTTACTAACTGTAAACTTCTGGAACTTTGCAAATTCCCTCAAAAGTTCTCCATTCAATTAGCTTCCATCGGCATACCGACCTTTTTGGATTGCTCTTCTGGAAGGCCCAAAAATTTTGCATTTTGTTGAAAAAAACTTGTTTCGGGATCACGATTAACAGAATGCAAAATTTCCTCATCTACATCAATTCACTTGTCTGCCCTCTTTCTTCGAGTGAAAGAACCAGTTTTCCTCAGCC